CCGGGGTGTGTGGGTGTGTCAGGACCACCCAGAGTAGCCTTAGAATCTGGAGGAATGGCTTTCTGGAACTTGAAAACAATTCTGGCAGGTCAATCCTTTATTGCAGCATCGATTTTGCAGCCTAATGCAGAAGAAATTGGCTTGTTGTGCAGAAAACACACACACACACACACACACACAAAGTGCATTTATTGGTTTTCTCCAAAGGTTTGACTAAATGTAGAATAATGGGTGACTTTTGTTAAAAATCTGGATGTTGATAAAATGGGGAAGAGTCATGAGCTCCCTCTCCCTGGTTCCTTTTCCCTCCAGGCCTCCTCATTTAGCCCCTCTGATTTCTTGAGGATGCACCTCTCTACCCATCCTCCTCACAAAAAGAAGGGCCTAGGACGTCTGGTGACTTCCGCAGCCTCTGTACCATGAGTATGGGATCACAGGCCTCCCCCTGTTTCGTGATTGTGGTCAGTGGAGGGGATCAGCTGCAGGAATTCATTTCTCTGCCTTCCCCTCCAACCAGAGATACGGTGAACCTGATTATGCCCAGCGGGCAAGTAGCCACCCTTGGAAATCAGTCTCTTATTGAGACAAACCGTGAAGACTGCACACTTGCAAAAGATAGAATGTGGAGCTGGAAGGTACATGCAAATCCTCATGATGGAGAGCGTGGGGGTGGGAAGGAAGATGTGTGTGTGAGCACTTAGAATTTTCTCTGCTTTTCTTTCCTCAGACTCCTTTCAAAATTACAAACAGAATGGGTCTTTGTGACCCCTAATTTGGGGTAAATAATGATCTATGACAAGAGAGTTTTCAATTCTCCTGGGAAGAGAAACTGCAGTGTGTGTGTGTGTGTGTGTGTGTGTGTGTGTGTGTGTCAGAGGGAGGGAGCTATTTCCAGCATAAAAATAATTCCATTTACAGTGTCAGTGAAATGTCCCGTGTTTCCGTGGTTCCCCTGCAGCCCTTGCTCTCCCCAGCCATGTAACAGATGCCATTTACCCTTCAGTGACACTATCAGGCATCTCACAGGAAGCCTGGCATATTCAAAACCAAAATTCAGAAATTTGTTTATCTTTTGTCTTCAACAGCTGGGTGGAGTGAGTAGGAACCTAGTAGATTGCTTAGAAAACCAGCTACACTTCAAAAAAATTAAATGTAAAACTGTTCTTTTTTTCTAGCTTAGTCCTGAGAAATCACCACCAATCTAATATTTTGTACAGAAATTTTAGGCTACTTTATTACTGAACCAGAATTTAATTTCTAACAGGCCAAAGTTGATCATATGCGCAAAAGCACTACATAAAAGGGATCTAGAAATATGAGGGTGTTATTTTTCATCCAGGTTAAAATTTGAATAGTCAAGTTTTTAATACCAAACCTCTCAGATGAAATGCAGGACCCTCTTTTTGTCAGCAGGAGGTCAGAAAGTTAGGAGTGAAGATGAAAGAAGTCCTAGGTTTAACCTCAATGGAATCGCCTTTAATTTTAGTCTGGCCAGGCCCACGAAAGGGTGCAACATGAGCTAATTGCAACACCGTGTTTAATAGGGATTCTCTTCATGTCCAAGACCAGTCATAACTTGACGAACAGTATTTCCAGCAAACAGCTTACCCCTTTTACTTTCTCCAAAAATGGTCCATTTTCATTATTTCTATAAATCTGCTTGAAAAATATTATGATTCTCATTGCTGCCCAGCAAGCACAAGGCCCTGGGTTCAATCCCCAGCACCAGAAAAAAAAAAAAAATCAAAACTCTGATTATTATGGGCTGGCCTCACTTTTTGCTATTATACCTGAAGTATTTACCTGCTTAATAAAAATAGAAACTTTGTGCAACCAAATTGTCAGGAGCTTTTCCACTGATCTAAGTACACACTCAATTCCCAAGGGCACAAAAAGGACTTCCAAGTTGCAAAATCACAACAGGTCCTTTCGCCTGCCTCCATATGCCCTGTACCTTCCTCCAGGGAGGGAGAGAGAGACGCGCACACACACCAATATTGTTGATTCATTGGGTTTGTTTGGGGACTGCTTATACTGTGTGGGTTAGGGTTTCAAATTACTATTTGCTCTTTTAACTTCTTAGAAGGGTAAACAACTTGAAAACAGTTAAAACCAGTAGCAAAAGAAACTGGCTTCTGACCTACTCAGTTAGCTTCATTCTTCTTCCTCAGACTTGCACAGTTGTTTTTGATGATGACTAAACAAAAGAAGCGGTAAGCTGTTGTGTTGCATGTTAAAGCTATTCTTCTGCTCAGTGGTGTGACAGCCAGACCCTACATTGGTGACTAATACTGAATCAGTGGTTTTCTAAGCGCTGAACTGATGGTAAACTAAAGAGGTCTAACTGAAGGTTTTCTGGATGAAGACTCCCTGCTATAAATAGGGTTTCTTTCCTTGGTCTCTTTTTCCACCCCCAGCTTCCAACACCCAATACCCATATCCTAAAAGAGAAAATGGACAATTTGTTCCAAATAAATTTAGACAGGTGGGAAAAAGGGTCATCAGGGATCTCACTGTCCCATTCCAGTCTCTCCCACTCTCAAACAAACCAGGCACCATTTTTTTTTTTTTTTGTATTGGGAATGGAACTTGGGGGCACTCCACCACTGAGCTATATCCCCAGCCCTTTTCATTTTTTAATTTGTGACTAAGTTGCCGAGGTTCGCCTTGGATTTCAGGTCCTGTTATTGAGAAGAACTTGAACTTAGGGCAAGAGAGATGCTATTGCTGCTGCCATGGATATTACCATCTGGGGTGAAAGCATTTTCTATTTAAAACTTTCTGAAACCACTACTTAGCATTCAGGGGGAAAAAAAAAAGCTTACCCTCTTAGTGATCAGAGCCTAGTCATTGTGTACTATATTTAAAGGCCACTTATTATTTAAATTTCTTAGCCTGCAAAAATAAAATATCATTTTGTCAGTTCAAAAGTGGTTTGGAAAACTACAGGAATATGACATTTGCATTCTGCCAATAAGTCACACCAATTCTAGTGACAGTAACAGTTTTTCTGATTTATTGATTGTATGCTTTCCACACTCTGAAGGAATCAGAGTCTAGAAGTTTCTCTAGGCAGTGGCTGTTGCTGGAAGGTGAATTGATGAGTCTTTGCGTTTGTCCGAGAGTCTGTTAACTGTAGAGTTGGCAGTTTGTTTCTTTCTGCAGTTTCCAATTTTAAGAGATAATGATGCAACCTATAATCTAAATACTGGATAAACTGACCTCATCAGATGTATGTTTTAAGAAGAATAAACATGAAAAGATGAGGTGAAGCAAATCCCAGTCTGTATCATAAAAAGAGGCCAAAGGAGGAAAGAAGTAGGGAGGGAAAGGAGTCAGGGAAGGAGAAAGATTTAAAACGAATTGGTTGCTTCACTCCTATAGTCAAGGAACTGGTTTCAGTGTGTGGACACATTGGAGTCAACTCATAGAGTTATTCCTTCAGCAAGTAAGTCTGTTGAAAAACTCCAAGGGATTCTTTAGAATAGATCCTGAAATTTGATGCATTTTGCACAATTGTTTTTGATGATAGCTAAACTAAAGAAGTGATATGCTGTTGTGTTGTATGTTAAAGCTATTTCTTCTGCTTAGGATTTGTTTAGTGGCTCCTAATGACAGTTTCAAATACAAAATACTTGTGGGACTACACATTGGTGCAACCACTCTGGAAAGCAGTATGGAGATTCCTCAGAAAACTTGGAATGGAACCACCATGGACCCAATTATCCCTCTCCTCGGTATACACACAGAAGACTTAAAATCAGCATACTATAGTGAAGCAGCTACATCACTGTTTATAGCAGCTCAATTCACAATAGCTAAGCTATGAAATCAACTTGGGTGTCCTTCAACAAATGAATGGATAAAGGAAATGTGGTATATATATATATATATATATATATATATACACAATGGACTATTACTCAGCCATAAAGAATGAAATGATGGCATTTGCCGGTAAATGAGTAGGCTATCATGTTAAGTAAAATAAATAAGGCAATCTCAAAATATGAAAGGCCGAATGTTCTCTCTGATATGTGGATGCTGACTCACAATAGGTGAAGGGAGGGGGAGGGAGGAGTAGAGGTTCATTGGATTGAGGGGAGGGAAGGAAGGGAGGAAGGATGGGAATAGGAAAGACAGTAGAATGAATGGACATAACTTCCCTATGTTCATATATGAATACACGACCAGTGTGACTTCACATCATGTACAACCACAAGAATGGGAAGTTAGGGCCTGGGGCTGGGGCTCAGTGGCAGAGTGCTCACCTAGCATGCGTGAGGCACTGGGTTTGATCCTCAGCACCACATAAATTTAAAACAAAGATATTGTGTCCACCTAAAACTAAAAAATAAATATTTTTTAAAAGAATGGGAAGTTATATTCCATGTGTGTACAATATGTCAAAATACATTATACTGTCATGTATAACTAAAAAGAAAAAATAAAATCAAATTAAAAAAGGAAAAGAAACACCAAAATACTTGATGCAACAGAAACCCAGAGCTCCTCGGGACTGAGGGAAGCAAGAAGAAAGAAAATGAACTGGGGAAAGGAGACAGGCTTTGGAAAGGAGAGCCAGGGGAGGGGAGAGCAGCGCACAGGGAGGAGGGGAACAGACGTGCTGCAGGCCCGCGTTGCCTGGGCCACGCTCATAACTAGTACACACACTTGGAGAGGCTTGACCTGCTTGGGAAAGTGAGGGCTGCCACACGGCCCTCTGCTCAAGAGCACTGGCAACAGCAGCCACCACCAAGCCAGGAAGTAGATCCCATGACCCCACTCAGCTTTGGGCAGGCGCAGGTTCAGGAGCCTTCTGGCTTTCAGGCTGGTTAGCACTTTATTATTATTATTATTATTATTGGTACCAGGGATTGAACTCAGGGGCACTTGACCACTGAGCCACATCCCCAGCCCTATTTCTGAATTTCATTTAGAGACAGGGTCTCACTGAGTTGCTTAGCGCCTCAGCATTGCTGAGGCTGGTTTTGAATTCACAGTCTGCCTGTCTCAACCTCTCGAGCTGCTGGGATCACAGGTGGGCACCACCACGCGTGGCAGGTTGGCACATTTTTGTGATGTGAATGGACAGAAGCTCTTTCCTGGCAGGTGCAAACTTAGGTGAGATGAGGGTACAGTTAACAATCAGCAGACGAGTAGATGAAGAATAAATTGTTTTCTAGATTTGCAGCCTTAGAACCAATGCATCAAGATATGAACTCTAGCCTGGTGTGGTGGTGCACACCTGTGATCCCAACAGCTCTGGTGGCTGAGGCAGGAGGATTGTAAATTGGAGACCAGTCTCTGCAACATGGCAAGGAATCTGTCTCAATTTTTTAAAAATTAAAAAATAATTTTAAAAAAGAACTTCTGAGAGTTGTGCTTTGTTTGCTTCATTCAAGTACCTTTTGTCCTCCGAATGTGTATAATACAAAAAAGGAGTCCAATCAAGCAGGACACATTCTGGGGCAGCATGCCATGCTGCTTGTGTAAAAGGGGACCCACCAGATTGTGGGGGATGAAGGCAGAACACTACCATCAGCCTGAAGAACGCCACCTTTTTCCTGAAGGTGCCATGTGAACTATAGAACATGTTGTGATGTGAACACATAGGTCATGTGATGAAATTACAAAAGAGTAATCTGAGAGCAATTTCAAGATGGATTTAGGGAGGAGAGAGGGGAAGGGGAAAGAACACTACTGAGGTAGTGGGTGCAGACATCCAATTTAACTTCCCTAAGCTAAAAAAATACAGGAAGTGGGGTTTCCAGGATTATAACAATCAAGATGCCTGAAACATGGCCAACAGCCAAAACACCTCAGGTCCCCCTTCCTCTAATTGGGGGAGTGTGGTGACAGTGGATATAAAGCTTAGACTAACAGATATCACTTGGGAAAGAACAGCAAACTTGGCAACTGCATGGATATAAGGAATTGAGAGAGAGAAAGAGACCCCCAAACGAAAAGCTGGCATTTGACCTTTAAAAACCAGCTTTTAGGTTGGCATAGCTCAGTAGTAGAGAGTAAGGCCCAGAGTTCAAATCGCAGAAATAAAACAAGACATAAAACCTCAAAGGAACACTTAGGTAAAGGAGGGAGGGAAGAGGATCAGTTCTGACAGAAAGATGAGTACACTTTATAGACTGAATTCGGACTTTAGAACTAAAAGAATATGAAGCAAGAGTCCCTGGCAGTGGGAAAATAAGGAGTGAATTTGCTTTGACCTTTCCGTTTCCATGTCCCTCATTTTCCCTGGGCCCTTCCAAGGACAGATACCTAGCATTTGTTTGTAAGTTTTTATTGTTGTGCTTTAAAAACCTCCCTCACAAGTTGTAGGCTTCAAGCCCCACCAAAGCAGGACCATCCAGGTTGGAGTGAAAGGCAATTGGCTTGCGATAATAATGGATGATGGGAGATCAAGACTTGGAAGAGGCTTATGACCACCCTCAAAGGAAAAGAAGGGTCCTCAGGGAAGGCCAGAAAAGCAGATGGCAGGACCCTGCAGAGATCAGAGGGAGGAGAGGCAGGGGTGGGTCGCCCAACTTGACCACTTAGTGATATCTTTTTTTTTTTTTTTTTTTTTTGAGACAGGGGTCTGGCTGTTGCCCAGGTTGGCCTAACCTCCCGGCTCAAGTGATCCTCCTGCCCCTGCCTCGCAGCAGCTGGGATCACAGGTGAGCCTCTCTACACAGGGCTAAGGTGACTGATTCAGAGCGCATGCTGGGCGGCCATGTTCCCAGGGCTGGAGGAGTGGGAAGAGGCAGCAGGTGTGGGCCCCCCTCGCAGCCGGGAAAGAAAGGTAGAGGATGCCAACCGTTCCTCACTTGTGGCACCCTGTCAGTCAACTTTTGCCACTCGAGTCAATATTCATTTGGGATTAATATCAGTATAAAACACAGGACTGTCGTTAATCACCTTTTCCGACTCTCGAGCCTTTCCATGATCTTACTAGCATCCGTTTCTTTTTCGGAGTGTACACCTGACCCATGACCAAGAAACGGGCTACTGGTGAGCAGGTTTGGGGTCTAGTTGGTTGGTCGCTTGGTCTACATTACTAGTTCCTCTTTTTCTATCCAAGGAGCATGCGAGGAATTCTGTCCTTTGGGTTCAGGCACCGGGGACCAGGTGGAGAAGGAGGAAGTCCCCAGGCACCTGAGCCTGGAAAAGCCTGGTCGGTTATCTGGGATCACCGAGTCAAAGGTGGCGATGACCTCATCCCCGCAGAGGGCGCCTCCCCACTCGGCAGCTGACTTCCGCCGGCCGATCTGCCCGGTGAGTTTTCTTTGACGACTCGCTTCTCACTGCCTGGCGTCACAAGTCACTGGAGGGGAAAAAAAAAAAAAAAAAGATTAGACTGATTTCTCTGTTTCCCCCCGTGAAGAGCAGGAGGAGCGCTCCCCAGACCGCGTCAGTCCGTTCACCCAGGCATGGAAGAGACTTTTGCTTTCTGCTCTGTTTTTAATAAAACGCGAAGTTTCCTCTGTTACCATCATTGAGATTTAAAACAAACAAACAAATAAACAAAAAAAACCCTACAAACTTACAGGTTGGCAGGCCCCAAGAAGGGGCGGACCGCTGGGGAAGCTCGGGCCCGCCAAAGTTCGGCCACCGGGCTGGGACAGTCCTCCGAGTGCTGCCCAGTGCTCCAGGGAGAAACAGGCTCTGCGGCGCGCGGGGATGCGTGAGTGTGCTGGAGGGTGTGCGTGCTTGCTGAAGTGTGTGCGGTGTGTGCGCGCGCGTGTGCGCAGGGGAGGGTGTCCGGGAGGCTGCGGCAGAGGCTCCTTTGTGGAAGCCGCTTGCCCGCTCCGAAGCCAGCGTGGCGCCTCCCTCGCCCGTTCCACTAGGACACCCGGCTCCACTCCAAGCCGCGCCATCTCCGTCTCCCTCTCCCCGACCTCCCTCCACAGCCCGCATCCGTCTTCGCGTGCCGGGAACAGCTTGCGAGCGCGGCTTCCAAGACCCGAGAGCCCGGGGCAGGTGAAGGCGAGCGCGGTGGCGGCGTCGGCGGCGCCCAGAGGGTGGAGGGGAGCGGGGGAGGCCGCCGAGCAGGAAAGGGCGTGCTGCCCTTCGCGGCCGGCGCGGGGAGCAGCCCGGTCCGCAGCATTGTTACCTGAGGCAGCGGCTCCGCCCCGCCCCGCTCCGCCTCGCCCTGCCCCCTCGCGGTCCTGGGGCGGCGGGGCCTGCAGTGACCCGCGGGAGTCGGCGGCGTCGGGAGACCGCGGCTGCAGGCTGCGGCCGGAGCCGGGCGCGGTGAGTGAGCGCCGAGCCCACCGGCCCAGGGGGCGGGGTGGGGCCGCGGGGACTCGGAGCCGCGACGGGCGGCGGGGGGCGGCGGGGGGCGCGGGACTGCCTTTCTCCAGCCTCCCCGCGAAGGCTGAAGGGGACGGGGGAGGCTCGAGCTCCTTCCGTCCCCGACCCCGGGTGACTTTGGTGGCCACCCGTTCCTGGCCGCAGAGGGCGGCGACCCTTTGCTTGAGGCGTAGACGCGCGGGTCTGGACCTGCAGCGGGAGAACCGGCTCGCCTGCGGGCTGCCTGCGGGTCGGATCCGGGCCGGCCGAGGGAGCTTCCCCACGACTGTAGGGTGTCCCTGCTCGTCGGGGAGAGCGAAGCCCGGCACCCGATGCGCCCGCAGCAGCGAGCGGCCCCTGCGACCGTGGGTGCGGGGTTGGCGGGACCGAGTCCGGCGCCGCGGGCCGAGGAGCGGCGGTTCTGGCTCCGGCTTGCTGGCCCTGGAAGTTCACGTCCCAAGTGGCGCCCCTTGCTTGGGCAAGTGAGAGGAGGAGACCGGTGGGCTGGCGGGTCGCCACCCTCCAGACGCGGGAGGTCGCCAGGTCTGGGACGCGGGCTCCGGGTTTAACCCCCGACCCCCTCCCCGGCTGGAATCGCCAGGAGCCTCCCTTAGGCGTTTTCCTCGCCGGTTCTTCGCCGCTCCCTTTGGGCCGAGCGGAGCGCGACCGCGAGGTTTTTCTCCCCGACCGGGGACCCCGGGAAGAGTACTCGCCAAGGTCCGAGGAGGGGGCGTAGCCCGGAGCGGTGGCCGAGACCGGAAGACCCCTCTTTCTCTTTAAGCCCCCGACACCTCCCCCGTTGACCCCCTCCCCCATCTCTGGGACCTTTGGGCCGCGGCCCCCGCAGAGGGGCGGGCACTCGGGTCCGCGTGGGTGGGGGGCGCCGGGCCAGGCGGAGCGACCCCTCGGCCCGCCCCGACCGGAGGGACCTGGGGAGGAGCGAGCCGGCGGGGCGGCCGTCGCAGTGGCTTCTGCGGGAGGAGGGGAGACGACCGCTCGCGCCCCGGGGAGGCGAGGGTCGAGCCCTTCCCGGCCCCCTGTCCCCGCACTGCCAGCGCGCCCCTCTCCTGGGCTCCGGGGCCCCTGGCAGCGGCGGCAGAGCCCGGGCGGCCCTGGTGGGCGGTTATCAGTGCCGAGACGCGCTCCCGCCAGGCCCAGATAAGGACGTCGCTGGGGCTTGCGAGGCCCGGGACCGCCCACTCGCGTTTCCTCCGCTGCCCCGGAGCCCTGCTCCCCCGGGATCCCGACGAGCGCGGCTAGGTGTCCCCTGCCAACCGGGGGTGTGCAGGGAGGTGACCGAGCCATTGGCATTTTGGTGAGTGATTCGGGCAGGGGAGGGGGCGCCGGGTTGGAGACTGAGGAAGTGGTGAACCTCTCTCCAAGCAAAGACCTAGGAAACGTGTGTCCAGATTGACTTTGAGAAGTCGAGAAGTCGTGTCAATGTTCAAACATCTGTTTGCACAGAAATGACTCCTTGAGTTCGGCCGTCTGTGACCCCCTTTGCTGACCTAAAGTTGTCTTCCTGGAATCAGTAGCTAACGCTTCCTTCCCTCTCTCAAGAGCATCCTTTGGCACTCAAGTGCTCCCCCCCTCCACCTCGGGTTTTGGGACTGTAAGAGAAGAAACTGAAAGTGCACATTCAGAAAAGGCGTTCTTGTGCTCTGGGGTGTTGCTGTCAGGGCAGCTGTGAATGTTTATGTGATGCGAGGGATTACACACGCTGTCTTGGAAATGCCTTCTCTTTATTTCTTTCACTGCTGGCCTGAGTGCTAAATTGGACTTTCTAAGTGGGATCGGCTGTGTGGTTGCTCAGACTGACATTGCCTGCTTAGTAATTAAGAAAGGGTTTGAAAGACATGTCCTGGTGAAGGAGACTTCTTAAGGACGAAGTGCAGTGAGAACAAAAATTCTGCATTTTAGAATTATCTGAACTTTCCCCATCCTTTCTTCTCTCCCAGCTAAAATAGGTGTGCATTGTTCTCACCAAACCTGGCTCTCTCTGCCCAGGTTCATCTTCAGAAGCATGTGGGCCAGTCCTTCCTGCCCCCACATCATCTGTGACACAGGAGTGGAGGAGAAAGATTTTTCTGGCACTGGTTTTCCTTTTGATTATTGTTGGCCAAGGGGGTGAGTGTCAAGCTGAACAACAGTGCTGGCCTGACCCTCTTTCAGGAAAGGCACAGTGAGAGGAAGCCTCCATACTCTACTTTCTTCTCTCCTGCTCACTCCCTTCAAGAGAATGGAACCTCAGGATGTTTCTTAAGGACAGAGCAGTGCAGGCTTGTGCTAAAAAGCAGTTATGAGGCCACGGAGAGCTTCTCTGAAGACCCCTAGCAACATTCTCATTCTAAGCCTTTGCTTGCTGATTAAATGCTTCTGATTAAATGCATGATCATAGTATTGCCTTATTGAAATTTTACATGGTTAAAAGATGCTCAGCTGAACTACAGCCCTCCACCCCTGGAGCATCCATCACTTAAGCCCACCTCTGTTGGGTCATGGTTAGCATTCTATAGGACTTGAAAGCAAGTTATCAGCTTCAGAGCCTAATCATGACAGCTCTGCATTTGACTCAGGGCAGAGTCTTTGTCAGCATCAGCAACCATCCTCCCTGCTGCTGAGGTCCCCATACTGTAGGTGAGATGTTAAATACTAGCCTGTCTCTGCCTATCCTAGGGAGATTGATGGGATACTTGGCATGTCCCAGAGAGAACCAGGTCTAATCCCATTGTCCCTACTGGCAGTTGCAAGATGTGAGAAACAGGTGGCGAGTGTCATCTGTCAGGGCTGTGGCTTCACCTGCATTTTCCAGGTGTACCTGAGAGTGTACACTGCATCTGTATTGTTCTTTGTGTATCCTTTCTCCTAACTCATGTGACTGCAAAAAGAGAATTCTGTCTGCACTCTCTTTGCCTACCACCTCTTTGACATTGGAAATACTGCCTGAGGGGAAAGCATTATTGAAGTTAACGGGTAGTAAAAGCATTAGCATCAAAAGCGTTAGCATCAGAGCTGATCATTACTGGTGAACTGATTCATGAGAAGCTGTTGGGGGGCTAGGACCCTTGTGTGTTACTCTGGGAAAAAATTAACCAGACAACTTATCAGAAACAATGTGATACATCTTCCTTTAACTTTTAAAAACAGCATTCTTTCCAGAGATGGGGCAGTAGTGTGAAGGGTGACAACTCTTAGCTAACAACATTTTTTTTTTTAATTTGGTACTTCCTCTGTGCAAAACACAATACTCAAAAGATGTGCACCTTTTTGCACTTTGGTGTTAAAAGTGATGTTGTACAAACTTTGAGTGTATAGTGTTTCTCACTATCAGTATTTCTACATTTGCATGGGGGAGGTGTTAATGACATATGTGTACAGCACTGAATGACTTATTACTTTCTAGGTTGGAGATTTTTTTAACTTGTCACCTGGGGCTGGAACCTAGGGCCTGAAGGGTGCTAGGCAAGCACTCTACTACTGAATTGCTCCACAGCTATTACCATTCTTAGAGGAATAATATATAAATATGTCAGCATATCTGGAATTGGAGGTGAACTGGAGGATTTGCAGTTTTTCTATACATGAAATATTTTATGTACAGAAGTATTTTAAAATGCATAAGGATAAACTGCCAAAATTACCTGTGCAGTCTTGAAAAAAGAAGAGTTCAAATATAACTATAAACTGTAATTGACAATGAGTCATTGCTTTAGGGATGCCAGCTATGAAAACAGCCTAGTTATGCTCCTAATGATAATTATGAAAACTCCTTCTAAAAGCCAGTTGCTTCTCAAGTGAACTGTAAGTCAACTTGGATACATACTTTTCTTATTTAGAAGTTATCCAGGGCTGATAGCTGCATTATACTGTGAATGTACTTAATGCCACCAAATTTTATTAAAATGACTAAAATAGCTTTTTTAGAGTATCCTATGAATAGTTGGAAATCACATTTCCTACTTACATTATAAGAAATTTTCAAAACTTAAATTTTGAGGGGCCCTGGGGGTAGCTTGTGTTAGAGCCCATACTCAGCATACCTGAGTTCAATTCCCAGCATCCTTAAATACTCAAATGTTTCATAAAAATATTTGTTCTTGTAATGAAGAAATAATTTAATATGCAATCACTAAGTATTGAAAAAGAACAAATCTCATAAACCACAAACTTTGATAGACGAAAATGGGAATATTAAAAATATATTTTTTAGCAGCCAGAGATAACTTGGCATTTTATCTGTAAACCCCAAACTTATTTCAAAGCCAATGGAATGCCTGTGAAAATAAAGGAAAATCATATATACATATGAGCAGCTTGTGATTGTTTTTAATAATAGCTGGCTGTGTGCCAGGCATCTTGGTAAGAACTGTGCATGTAGTAGCTCATTTCTTATACAAGCCAGTGAAACAGGTACATCCTCATTTTGTAGATAAAAGTGCTAAAATGTAGGTTAAGTAACCTATCTCTGCTCTGGTTGAGTATGTAGGAAGTAGCAGACCTGGGTTCTAGAGTCTCCTCTCTCACTTCCAAGCCAATCCTGACATATATGTGGCTGTACGTAAAACATCTCTTTGATTAGTGTTATCACACAGTTTACCCCCGGGTAATCCAGCATTGTTTGACTAACTTGTGTTCATCAAGTCTGGGCTCCAACAACCGATGCTATAAAAGGATAATTGCACCCAGGAGCCCTGTGTGTAAGTTTGGCCCTTTGTGATCTGGAGGAGGCAGTCCCTTTCTCACACTCCCCATAGTTGGGGTGCTCTCTTGACACCTTGCACTTATTCCCTTCACCCACCCCCTACTCCATCACGCGCATCCTTGTATCAGAAGAACCGTAGTTGTTTTGACCCAGTTTCCGGTCAATAGCAACCCCAGAGCAAACATTTAAAGGTCCATAAGAACCCAGTAGAGTGAGTTATGTGGATAAGGGACACACATTTGGCAGATGGGATATGGACAGTATGCCCTTGTGTGTATCTCTTCTTTGCTAGTGTCATGAAGCAGAACAGGTAGATGACACATTCTAATGGTTTCCACAGAGTGGCTTAACAAATGCAAGATGACAGCGTTGAAGGGGATGCTAGAGGTCATTTGACATATCCCCCTGATTTCACAAACAAGAACACTGAACTCTGGCCAGGTGGAGGGACCTGTCTGGTAATGTAAGCAGTCAGGCTTGCTTTAGACCCAGAATGTGCAATGCTCACGCCTGGCCTTCTTTTCTCTATCTGAGGGAAGGCCACATCACCCAGTGGAGCAGGAACATAGTGACCCTGACTCCGGGGAAATGAGCTAGGCCATTATTTCATCATCACCAACTGCCCCACCTGTTGTGTTCAAGGTGGAAGATGCCTTTTGGCCACTGATTGGTAGGAGACAGGTCCAGACTGGAAAAAGGCAGGGTCACTGCACACCTAATGCTTCAGCAATTTGGGCAGTTTCCCTAGGGGTTGGGTATCCATTGCCCAAAAGAGAATGAACTAGTTGGTGAACAAGTAGTGATTCACAGAGCAAGCAGTACTTGCTGAACCTATAGGAGGCTCTCAATAAACATACGCTGTATTGATTAATGGAAGGTTTCCAAATTGGACTCACTGATGCTACTTTGGCAGTGTTTCCTGGTTCAATTTGGTTCACATTCAGAGAAGTATTAGTTCCTCTTAATGCCCCTTGGGATATCTTCCTTGACGTGAATGCCCACCCATGTAGGAGGACTGGTTCTGGCCTCTGCGGGGGATAACTGGTATGAAAGCATTTGCCAGCGCAGATTTTAAACTTGCTTTATCTTGGCAGGTTTGGAAGATGACACGCCGCACACTTGCCTCTTTTCCTGGCCGCCAACTTGCTGGCAAAAAAGCATGACACAAGGTTGATGTTTGTGTCTGCTTCTCCAAGGTCAAGGAATTATCTCCTTAGAAGGCAACAGTACTATGCATGTTATGAATTGTGTCTCCCTGGCCAGTGATAAGGAAAATGGGAATATTGCCACGGCAGCTGGATTCATGATTGGGCAGGAGTCATCCCCAGCATCTCCTCCACCTCCTCCTCCACCCCCTCCGCCTCCACCATGTCTGTACTCAGGGGAAGGACTTTCCCCCTCACCGACTCCTCCCCCACCGCCTCCGCTCCCTGGGGGCCCTCCTGGCCCCCCTCCCCCTCCAGGACCACCCCCCACTTCTCACATGAATGGCTACAGTTCCCTGGGTAAGAAGAGGATGAGAAGCTTTTTTTGGAAAACCATTCCAGAGGAGCAAGTTCGTGGCAAGACCAACATCTGGACCTTGGCCGCCAGGCAGCAGCACCACTAC